GGTGAGGTCGCTATAATTTAGCCAGATTGTGCTACTCTTACATTGCGCGGTGTCCCGCACTTCTGCAACGCCAAAAATAGGCTGGTTTCGAAAAAGCGGACACCGTGGACAGTGGGATACGTATTGTGGCGGCAACACAAAATGCTAGCAACCCGAGCTTGCGCACACCTTCGCATCTAAACCCGAAGCCCTGACATCTGTTGGCCGATCTGCCGCTGCTCGCCCCGGTCACCAGCACTGCTCCGGGGGCCACCGGAAACCTGACACGCATTGTTGAGACTTCACGGCCTCCAGTTGGGAAGTGCTGTGCAGGGTCTCTCAGGACCCACCAAGGACCCTTCAATAAAGACGCTCTGAAGGGTAGTCAGGCTGTAGTGGTGATCTAGGGTAGCACGCATGGTTTAGGGTCGGGGGATCGGCCTTCCGGCTTGAAGCCTGCAGCCCTCAACCTCTGAGATCGGAAGCTCCACAAAAGTCGTTTACAATGGCATCGCTATGCATAAGTGAATGGGTGGTGTGATCAGAATCACATTCATGACATGAATGCCGATTAAAAATACGACAGTAGCCCACTTGACCTCTAATTCCCGTGGGCCCCTGAACCCCCTGAATTCCAAATTCTGCTTGGGCCCGGAACTCAAATCTCTCCAACCCCTTAACGCCGAAGGCTTCAACACTGAACCCCAAGCCCGCTAAGCCCCGGTCACCCCGCATGCTTAAGTCCCTGAACAACCATGAACCCCCTCAACTCCTTGGCTGGCACCTGCACCCTAAACCCCGATCATGCCTACAAAACTCCATCCTGAAACAAATTCTGCGGCAATCCTCTAACACAAGCCCCGAAGCTGAGACTTAACCCTTCACCCCTTCAACTCACTCGAGCCCCCCCCCCCCCCCCAACAGTTGCAGGGCTCCTCTTCGCCAGCAGCGCGTGCAAGCAGGGATGGATCCCAGCCAGGAGCCTGCCCGATGTTCCGTGTTCAGTGTTGCAGGCTTGCCTCGGGGCTTCGAGCTTAGATGGCGTTTGGGGTGTTTGCGTCTAGGGTTCAGGGACTTTGCGTTTAGAGTTTAGGACTTCTTTAGGTTGGGGCTGTGGGAGTTGGGGCAGGGCAGGTTGCGACAGCGAAAAGTTTGAGCATGGTCCCGAACCGACACTGCGAGCAATATGATCAGATGATCAGGGAAGCATGACGAAGTCTTGACAGTTGAGTGATGTTGAGGGCACAGGTGTAGGGCCGAGGCTTTAACTTACCGTCACTCTTACCTTCATGCCAAAGAAAGCCGGTTCGATGGACGGGGCCACAATTGACCAGTGAAAGCCACTGTCAACATCTAGTCCCTACGCCCCAGAACTTGACGACCCAACCTCAACAACTCCCGCGTTTTTCGGACCATAAGGGACCCCTACATGAGACCCGATAATGTAGGACTCGTCTTTTGCTGAACCTATGTAAGTACGACACCTTCATTAAGTGCTGCCATGGCACAGGACCGGAACTGCCAGCCAAGCACACCGCATGGCTGCAGTGGGGATCCGAAGCAAAACGTCTACGGTGAGTTGCATGTCGAAAGTTTGTGGCTTAAGATCTGTAGGATTCTGTAGGGAACTGCATACTCAGTAATACTCCATGCAGCTCCTGAGCGAAGCTCAGTATTTGACTTACGGTGGGCTCATGACGTCTGCAATGCCTTGGTAGCGAAGGTTTCAAGGGAATGCCTATATAGGTATACCAAAGCTAAGAGTTGCAGCTTTCTTGCCACGGACTCGGATGAAAGTTGTATGGTACACTGTCACACCTTACCTGGGGTTGATGGTTTGCAATGCTTTGCTGGCGCTGTGCGGTCTCAAGCCACCAAAGGGAGCTTCAAGCAGCAGCAGCTCCCTGGAGTTGATCACGATTAACTCTATACGCTCTGCTGAACAACCAACACCCAGAACCCCGCATTCTCGATGGTGCTGTTTGATGGATGCATACTTGTGAGACCCGCAAAAGCAAAAACACGAAACCCTGCCCGCATGGCAGGGCCCTTTCTTTCATCACAAAAGGACGCACGCGCGGGACTTCTGGACCGGTACCTTCGAGAGGGGTCGGACCACCTGCCCACAGACGTCGAACTTTCGGGCTTCATTCTATTCGACGTTGTTTGAAGGCTGCGGTGGCCTGCTTAACGGCCCCCTTTTTGGTGCGCTAACGCATCGGGTTTCCGGCCTCAGGTTAGGCACTATAAGGTGTTAGGATGCTTTAGGGTCTCTAGGAGATCAGGGGTAGAGGGGCCGAAGGCTGGCGGGTTTGAGGCATTGCGGCGCCAGGCTTTGGAGCTGGTAAGGGCTTGGGTAGAGATGCTTAGTTTGTCACAAGGGCCATGAGGTCTTGCGTGAGTTGTCCAAACAGTAAGTACTTGAAGGTCGATACGTATGAACCCCAATATTGCCAAGGCCCTAAACTTGCCTTGGCGTGTTTAGAAGTGCTAGGGCTAGTTCATGGGAATAAATCTGGGGATGTAGTGCTTCTGCATGCAGTCGGCTGCAGTGTTAGGAGGTTGCGCTCTTGGGCTTTGGAGGCTGGGTTCTCTGCTCAGAACCACTCAAAGAGCGGTTACCAGAACAGGAATACGGGGTCAGTAGTGCGCTCATGGAGCTTGCGAGGTTGCGGGCTTCACTTCAGGCTTTCAGTTACAGGAAGCAGGCGAATCTGGGAGGACCTCTGCACCCGCAAAACCCTAGATACCACTAAACCCTGAACCCAAGGCTGACTTTTTGTCGGCCACCTTTTCCAGCTTTCCACATTGGAAACTAGATCCGCTGTATTTGATGTAAGCCGTGAGGCTGTAACCGTAGACATCAAGCCCAAAAGTCCACTGTCCAAAGCCCCAAACTTACCACTGAACCTTTCATTCCTGGAAACCATTGATGGCATGGGGCTCAAGGCTTCAAGACACCCAAGGGCTTGGGTTGAGCCGCAAGCCAGGCCTGCGTGTCCAGCTGCTGTCCTAGTGAGCCACGGTCCAAGGGGGCGAGGACCGCGAAGAGGACCTGACCATGGTCATGCATATGCATGACAGAATGTCGTTTATAGACATGCACCGATCTAAGGCCCTCAACCTTCCTATGTCCAACTCCAGCATAAGGGGCAGCTTGATTGCAGCAACACTTTTCCCTATGAAATCGATATCATCCTGTTCGATGGGTTGCCGCCCCGAAAGACCATTCTCAGCATTCAGCTTAGTATGCCCCTACAGTACGCTTAAACTCCACTGCTGAAGACCTCGAACACCTCGAAGGCCTCAACACCCACAAAAACACTGACGACAACAAGACTACCGAAAACGGTTGCTGCACGGTGCCAGAAGCACTCTCGAGAGTAGCAATAACAGGACTGACATTTTTGTAACCAGGATAGGCACCCTTTAGACCTTACTGGATTCTGCTAGACTGAGCTGTGCTAGAATAGCAGCACACATACTAGACTCGACTAGACTGGACTAGACCAGACTGTGCCACACTTTACGGTCTTGCGCTATACTATACTGTACTATACTGTACTATACCGTACTATACTCTACTATACTGTGCTATACTTTCCTATACTATGCTAGACCATACTATACTATACTTCACTCCCATACCAAACTCGGAGCACCAGGAATTTCCAGCCTCAACAAACTCGTCGTGGGATAACTTCGATGACGGGATAAACTCACTGGTGCTCGGACCTGGCTGGAGAGAGCAGGACAGGCTTCCACTAAAGGCGCTATCAGGGTTTATGGTTTAGGGTTTAGGGTTTAGGTTTTAGGGTTTAGGGTTTAGGGTTTAGGATAGCAGGGCTTGTAAAGCTATACAAGGGCTTCTTCGCAGGGCTGTATAAGCTGCTGCTATACATTGCACTGTGGGAGGATACGGCTCCGAGTTCCCCGCGGGGCCCCTCAAAAGGTCAACCTCTCATTAAAGGTACGATCATATAAACGCAGAGGTTAAAGGTTACGCGCTCAGCAAGTAAGCATAGAGCAAGAAACAGTTTGGCACGGCCGTTGGATTTTGGATGTAGTGCTTGGGGATGGGGGTCTTGGATTTTGAAATTAAGGCTAGCTGGGTTGGGGGGCCATGGATTTATTGCTTTTGAGCTTAGGGTTAACGGTGTTGGGGCTTGGGGTATTTGTATCTTGGGGTCTGGGTAGGGTTACGTCGTTACGTGTGTGGTTGGGGTTTGGGGGCTTGTTGTGCGGCTGTTTAGAGTTTAGGGTTGAGGGATGTCAAAATGTACAACTAGTATAGCAGTATAACTTATAAACTAAAGCCAGAACCCCTTAAGGTCTTCAGCCGTAAATGCACAAACCCTTTAACCCCAAACCTCTGCACCCTCCAACCTGCGCTGCGGCTGAACGATTTAACCTCTATAAGTTATCAGGATAAGGGATGCAAATGATCTGTAGTTTATGTAAATAGACCGTAGACCTATATTGCGGCAACTTACTTAGGTAAACCCGAGTAATAACCCCATGCAAAAAACAATCTTACGAACCCTCTACCGAATCAACGCCTTTCATTCTGAAAGGAGTCCCAGGGCTGCTGCAAGAAGAGGAGATGTGGTACCAGGATGCGCCCAAAAGCTGCATGAGGGTCTGCAGTCACGACTGTTTCATGTCAGCTGCGTGGTTTAGGGCGCATGAGATGCTACGCCCTGGAGCCTGGATTCCCTAACCACATGCCATAAGCTGTGGAACCCGAAAGATGCAGGTCTTCCGGTTGCGGGGTGTGCTCCCGCGGGGTTTGGGTTTGCAGCTTGGGGCTTTGCAGATGCAAATCATGCAAGTCATTGTATCAGATCTGCTTGAAATCAGAACACAGTAAGCAGAGTGTGCCAGTGCTATGGCACCAGCACGCAAGATTCGAGGTCTGAATGAGATCCCCCGAAAGCACAACCCAGAATCACAAGCCGTAAGTTCGTACTTCAAGGAAGACATAGGTGAATGCAGTTCCCCTACTGGATAGAAGCTTATTGAGAAATAATTTCTCTGACCCTAAGCCGCACCACAACGCCAATCCGCACTGTAGATATCTGAAGATCGCAAGGCTGGTGAGAAGCCTTTCCCTGAGATGGCGCCGAATTGCGCGTTCACAGTGAGTGCATGGGCCTAGCAAAGCTCAAACTGCAAAACCCAAACCCCTGACTAAGAGCCGCAGAAGCTTTACAACAAATCCCACTTACAGAACCCGGCCTTTACCCGACTCCAAGCGACCCGATGACCTGGGAGAAAGAGCCACTTATGGATGCATAGGGGCTTATAGGGTTTAGGCTTAAATCAAGTATAGTGATTTCATGACAAGACTAATGGGTCTACTTCTGGGTTCTTAAGGGCTTCGTTGCGGTCTCATTTTATCACAAACCCGGTTTATAGATGCATAGGAGTCTACAGCAGTCGCTTGCACTTGCTCTCCGAAGGTTTGCAACGAATGGTTTCGTGGGATGAAATGTTTATGTACAAGAGTACAAGAATTTTGTTGCGAGAAGGCGGGTTCCTGACATTGGGAATAGATTTTTGGGGGTTCCATTGAACTCGGATCCTTTTCATTATTAGTATCCCACTCAGAAATTGGAAATTCCCATGTACCCGGCAGGGTTAAGGCGTTGCGGTAGCGATTTGCGTTCTCGGCCTCGGAGTTTCTCAAGTTCGGAGTAGGGCTCGGGTTGGCGTGTAACCCTAAAAACCTGCGTGTTAGGTGTCCAGATTCCCTTAAAAGGGTAGGTCTCCGGCGGCAAGCACTTTCGAACCTGAGGCCAGAACTCAGAACCCGACCGCCAAAGCTTCCAAACCCCAACATACGAGTACCCAGAGCCCGAAACCGCAAACCTCTACATATTAAAGGCGCTACCCCCTGGATCACTGAGCCCTGAAAAACCCGAAACCCGCCTAAACCTAAACCCTTTTTTCCGTTGACCCTTCACCGCCCTAAACCCTTGAGGATGCCCAAACCCTGAAGCGAAACACATCAACAAAAATCCTGATGAGCGCGAAATCCTAGGCCTCCAAGCCGTAAAACCCCAAATTCCTACCTTTCCGGGACCCGGGCCCTGGGAACTTTGCCCAGTCAGGGTCTTGAACCTGTGCTGCTGAAATCGGCGGAGAATAAGGCGGGGCTGTTCGGGTTTGTCTTTTGAGTGTGTGGAGTTTCGTGCTTTGGGGCTTTTGGGCTCTTGGGTTTTAGGATTCAAAAACTTGGGGTGATGTGAGTTGTCCGGCTTCCGGCCGAAATCGTTCGAATGGAAACATTGGCCCTGTAAGGAGCTTAAGAGTCCTGCTAACAACAGACGACTGGGGTGCTGTCTTGGGTGTGGGTCTGGGGCAGCTGCCTTCAGAGGCATAGCTTCGGCCGGACTGGTAACCCCAGACAGGGCCCGGATATCTCGAAGCTAACATGCTGTATCTAGGTCAGATGTTTCTATGCTAGGGCTTGGGGTTAAGGAAATCGGACAGTTCTTAAGTCTCATCCAGACACAGAAGCTTGCCCAAAGTCACTGAAGCCTGCGGCCTATCTAGAGAGTGGAAGTGCTGCTGTTGGATAGCCTAGTTGATGGCTAGAACCCCGTAACAGGCCACTTTAAGGAAACCAAGGCTTCGGGTGCAGGGGCCCTGCACCCTAAACTTTACCCGTGGGCCCCTTCATTTTGAGGTGCATGGTCCAGTGGTTTGGAAGTGGTCTGCGGGGTGCCAGCCTTAGCCTACACCTTCTTCACAGACCATCGACATCATCCGATAGCTCAGAAGAAAGCGGGACACAGCCTGTGATAACTGCATGACGAAGGAATCGAAAAAAGAAAAACGAATCTAACTAAGTCGAAGGCCCTAAGCCCTTCAAAGCTCCACAAGCTTGTGGCCTCCGAAAGCCCGCACCAAAATGTGAGAAACTCCGGACACCAAGCACCAGGCAGCCACTGCGAATGCATGTATAGACACCTGCGCGCTGTGGGATTTTAGGGCCGTTGGGCACCAGGGTTCTGGGTGTGGATTCTCCCGTGGTGCAGATTTGGCGGTGTGGTCCCCGAAGCCCAAGCCCCAAACCCGAAACCCAAAACCCGGCTGGAGAAAACAATCTGTGCTCCCTGCCGGGCTTGAAATACACAACTACCCAACACAGAAAGAACAAGGGAACAGACTCGTGTATGATGCTGTTTGGCTTTGGTACAGGGATTTGCAGACAATTCTTTGGGCTAACGGCTTCGGGTTGCCTTAGAGTCAGGGGTTAGGGATGGCGAGAGACTACGGGTGTAGGAATTTCGCGATAATGCGCTGCAGGATGATGCCGAATTTGGAGATCGGAAGCTTCGTGTAGGCTTCCACCTGGATGCCTCCTGATGTTCGATTAAAGCTCTTGTCACATCGGTTTAGAAAGTTCCGGTGCTGTATCATCAGATGAGCGGGACTGGGCGCCCAGCGATTCTGGAGGCTAAGCACGGGCTGGACCCCAAACGCAAACAAGGCTTAATACGGTTGCGGGAACGACATAGGTATCAAACACTGAAAGCCAAAACACGACGGCTGCATCCACATTCCTCCCATCATCAAAACCCCAAGTGCCCTCAAACCTAATTAGAGCCCCAATTGCAATGTGACTCAATCTGTGAACCGATGCACATAAAACCCTGAACTGCAAAACAGCACACCGCGAACATCACGGCCGAAAGCCCTGAATGCTTTACCCATGACTGAGGAACCGAACTCCCTACAAACAAGAATGCTACGAGGCTGCAGGGTACTCAAACCCTCACAATTTCTGGTTTGTACATCTAAATCGCAAGCCGTAGCCGGCAGTCGGGGAAACTTCCACTCCAAACTGACACCCAAAACTTAAAACCCACCCAGGCCTCGTCAGCTGACGTGACGACATCGCGGCAATGAGAAGGGTGGCAAGGTAGACCTGTGTGCTGTTCATCGGGTCTGGTTTTTGGTTGGGCAGGATTAGGGTTTTGAGCTGTTGGGCTGAGGGTTCTAGCTTTTAGGTTGAGGGCTTACTGAAGGAGGCTTCAGGGGCTCATGGCTTTGTAAAGTCACGAAGAACAGTTGAAAGGACATGTCAGCGTCATGAAAAAGACCCTGCCCTCCGAACGCCCCAAAAACCACAGTCGTCTTTCTGTTGAGGGCCGGGCCAGGAGCAACGAATGCGGGGGTTTTGTCCCAGAGGAGGGGAGTTGGCCATTGGAGTTCCAGAGCTGGGCCGTTTACACTCGGGCCTAGTTACAAAGCTCCGATTGCCCAAGCGACGCCTGATCTAACTTGCAGGTCCTGAAACCGCCCCCCTCCCCGCAGACGCGTTACCATACACCCCATAACTTGGTGCCAGAGCCTGACTCAAGACGCCATAAAAGCCAAGGCTTCATCGCCCCTGCTCCTTACCAAGCTGCCCGATCCTCCAAGTAAATCCCGGAGCCCCAAATCCTGAAGCTTGAGGCAAGAATCTAAAGCCCCTCACAAGCCAAACACCCGCCCTGGAGCTCTGGATCAGGAAGGCTGCCTGCTGGAAAGTCAGTGCACCCAGCATCCTCCCGTCTAACAGACGGAAGAAGTCCAGGGCCTTTCGTAGCGAGGTCTCTTGGGCTTGCGAAAGGAGTGAAGCGAGTGAGCGTCTTCAGAAGTTAGTTTAACACAAAACTATGACGACACACGGCCGGAAAAGAAACATCAAGAAGTTCGATTACCGGGGTTCCGTCCTTCAGGCCGGCTTGTACGGGTGCAGCACAATGGTCAACTCCGCTACAGGGTAAGGATTGACGGCTTGGTATTACAGCGGCTTGTGGTTTGGAGTTTCTGGGTATCCTGCACGTCCAGGCTTGCAGTATTTGGCAGGGTTTGGAGTCACGAACGAAGAAATGAGAGTGAGGGAACACGCCCCCTGTATGCGCGGCACTGCTTTTAGCGGCACTGGTTCAGCGCCGTTTCTTCTTCAGCTTGTGCCTTTCGACACTATTGGGCGGAGGCTCACCGTGCAAAGCGCTCTCGTCAGCACCCCTTTACACGATGCGGAGCCGAAAACACAACTGCGGGAGTGAGTAATTTCGTCCCGCTCGAAGTGTACAGCTCGACACGTCTTTCGTGAAGAAACATGCTATTTCATGAACAAGCATTTTTTAGGTTGTACACGCATAGGGTCAGGGCTCAGAGGGTTGGAGGGTGGGAGGATCGTCGGTGTGCTTCTGAACTCAGAATTCGATTTGAGGTGAAGGGTTCAGGGTGTGTAAGCCTCGTAGAGGCGTACTTCTGCGAGTTGAGGCCGGCGGTTTTCGAGCAGGAGGTTTTTGATGCTGACTATCCAAGATGTCTTCAAAATTCTGATTTTTTGGCAAAGCTGAAGTCTGTTGTGCTCCATACAGAGCAAGGGCTTTCACTACCGTAGTGCTCAACAAGTTGCTGGGCAAGGGCTTGAGGTTGTAGGTTTCGGGCATCTCGTTCTGCATTGTCCACCGACCGGGCTACCCACATTCAAAATCCCGCCACCCGGAAAGCGAAGCTAGTGGCATGTAAAAGCTTGTCACCAACAGCTGACTGCACAACTGAAAGCTCGAACTCACAAACCCAGAAATTCAAATCGAAACCCTCAGAGCAGCACCCGAGGCCCTAAACCGTAATCTCATGCCCCCAAGCACTGCACAACAAGGCCGGTCGATGGAGGCCCAGCGCCGCCTCTGCTTCGGAGCACCGAAGGAAGAGCTGGAGGTAGTCTTGGAAAGCCTGTCATCAAAATTCTCTGCAGGGCGGACGATAGGGGTTTAGGGCCAAAGTTTGGGGATTGACGTAGGCGTCAGGTAACCGGGAATGGATCATAAAGGGTCTGGTCTTTTGAAGGGGGTTAGATATTTTATACTGTCGTGGTGATAAAGCCCCATCAGGGCCGCCAAAGCAGGCCCCTGAATCCACCCGAGCTTCAATTCTTTATGCCCTAAACTCTCCCAGCCCAGGTACAGGAGCAGAAATTGTTTATTGGATGTACAAGCCTACATGACCGACCAGCAGCCTTGACCGCTGAAATGCTATAGACCCCTGAAGCTGCCATGCTCAAGACTGCTCGCTGGAGGGTCTACCTTTAGCAAACCCCAAAAACATGGCAGGAGTGCAAACTCGTTGATGGCCTGAGCCGGACAGTATGCCTGTTCCGCGCCCGAGAAGGGTCAAGGGCTCGGGTCTATGGAGCGAAACCCTGAGAAATTTCTCGTACAAAGCTCCCATGCAAGCCCTGGTCTACTAGCTCCGGCCTCTGTACGACACATTTACAGTGCGCATAGCAAGCCCCTCTAACTGGCAAGGTCGGTATAGGGTGTCTTATTTTACGGGTACCGTATTACGGAGCGTTTTGCACACGAGGCCTACTAGAAACTCGCAGAATTCGGGTTGCTGATTTTCTGAAACTGACCTCCGCCTCCCATCGTTATGCTTTTCTTCGAAACCGTATAGAAATGCAAAAAAACACTATAGATTATATGCCAAATCTCAAAACCTACAGCCGACTCCAAGACCCAAAAGTCTGAGCCTGCATCGGCGGTTCAATTTACGATCCAGGCTCGGTGGCGGACGTAATCGGCTGGTCCATAAGTCTCCAGTCAACTGTCAGACGCAGATCTTAGTGTAGACTGGTAATTCTGATATCTGGGGACCCTTAAGTTCTAAACTAAGTAGTACAGAGCCCCTGAAACCCCTGAGCCCCAAGCCCTCATCATAACCCCGCAAGCCTGAAACCTAACCCCCAACACTCTCCCCCTCCGGCGCAACAAAACCTCTAAGCCTGAAGCCTGAAACCCCAAAACGGCAAATGCGCCTGCGGGAAAAGACCTGTCTCCCCAGAGCGTTGAGTGCGGCCCTCGGCGCTATTCATGAGCTGCCGGAGGTACCACTGCCTTGTAACGAGATGCTGCTGGAAAGCACTTGAAGAAGCTTGGGGTAAAGGAGTCAAGTAATTACCCCGAACCTGCCTTCACTGGGGTTGTAGGATGGTTGCGGCGGGCTTTGTAATCCTCACGGGCTCTTTCTATAGTGTCACTTCAAGCCATAAAGTCAATGACGTGGAAGGCTCTACATAGCAGCGCCCGCAATATACGGACCCACGGTGTTAAGAAAGACTCGTGTCGGGCAGGGCCGGTGAAAAGAGAACGGCAGCGTTGTTTCATGTTGAAGTTCCACGGTACTTTAGGAGGGGAGCAGTTGTGGTGGCTTGGCCGTGCTTGCGACGATGCAGTCAAGTCAAGCAAATTACGCCAGGTCGAATGGGTCTGCCCGGCGGTCACGAATGTTTCGAAAGGACCGGAGATGGCTTGCGATTGAAGTCACATGGAACCCAGGTTTGTGGGTTGGCACGACGGTGAGCTGGACATGATTCCTGCCCTGTGGGGCTTTGTGACAGCGGTTTGCGTTTGGGTCATCATGTTGCAGTCGCCCCCGCCCCTGGGCAATCGGTCATGGTATGCAGCATGCTGGTATGAGGCTTCACCAGTTGATGGTGCGGTAGATGAAACGATGTTCTGATGCATCTGCACATGACCGTTTCATGTTGCTAACCTCATAGCGCACCCTAGACCACAGAACTTAGATCCAGCAGTCTGATCGTCATGGTCGCGACCCTCACTTGTTTGGATTGCGATGGTTACAATTTTTATGAGTTTAAGGTTGAATTGAACAAGGTTCGAGGAACGCAAGCTTTGCAAACACTTCGCCGCTTAACCTACTCTAAATTCATGTAACCCTCAATTCATTCGACCCGGCGGGATGGCTTCGAACTGGCAGGATGAATACGCTTGACACATTCGGGGTGTCGTCAAAGACCAAGTGCTTTTCAGGCTTGCCAAGTTGGGCTCTAATCAGCGCACAGTACCAACTCAACTCAGCCATCCTGCCAGATTATATACAACCACCTGGTAGCTACTGAAGAGGCATCTCCCAGCGCTATGACCCTCAAGTCTATAGCCTCCAATTTACCCCGAACCATAATCCTAAGAGTCACATGCAGATATTACTTGCATCCAGTTGCTGATGGTGCTACAGTCGAGGTGAGCTTCGCTGGAAGTAGAAAGTCGAGCCTAAACTTTTAAACAGGCTACGCCCAAATCCCAGAGCCTAAGCAGAAGCTTGGGTTCCTGACTTAAAGGTCTGAAACCCCTTCTCGGTGTGAAGAAGGTCGAAGGCGACGAGCTCCTCCAAAACGTGCACTGGGGGATCAAGGGTTCACTCGGCGAGGGCAAGGGCTGACTCACCAGAACTACGTCAATGCCAGACACCGCCCAGAGCATGCTGCCAACCACGACCCGTGCTCGTGCGCGTAGATTCGACTTATCACCCAGAGCTAACCACCTCGGGCATGCAACCAATGGCCAGCCGTGAAAACCTAAGGGTCTTAGGGTGAATGAGACCTTAGCGGTAGCCCGGCTTCAAGTCAGAAGTCCGCTGCACGGTCAGCAGGCTTTCCGCTCCCCCAAACGGCCCAACTTTGCAGTAGCGTGGGGTTCGGGACATAGCATTTAGTGGCTTCCGGTGTGGGTTCATGAACTTCGGGCCTTATGCCAGGCCAGCTTCGAACTTTCACCTTCGTTCAGAAACTCAAAATCTCAACGCAAAGTTCTTTACCACTCACGATATGCCGGGGCGCAACACAACAAGGCAGAAAGACAACTTCCAAACCATCAGTATATTCCCGATTGCGCAAGCACACCGAAACCTAAAAAAGACAACACTTCGAAATGCAAAAAAAACCGAAACCCAAACCCTAATGCCTAAACACTGCACCTCATTCTCCGACTCCCGCGAGCACATTGACGTCACGGAGCGTGCCGAGTCCAATGGCCGACCTCGTTGGGGCGCTTCGAGCAGTTTTGCTATCAACAGCGTGAATCGTGGCGGCTTTATGGGCTTCGTAGCTTCGTAGAGTACTATTCGCAAAGAAAAACCTCATGAGCTGCACAAGGCTTGTGCACGCTCCTCAGCGGCTTGCGGCGTGCTGGTCAACAAGTGTCGAAAGTGCACGACTTGAAACACCTCCTCAAATCTATCGCATATCGCGGGGTTTGCTTCCCTAGATTAATCCCACGTCGGGTCTGCTGGTACATGCAACGACATGTACAACATTCACTGAGCGGATACGGCCGGTTGCTTGCCTCATACAGAAAGATCCTTGTTCTGGACCGTCTACTCAACTATCCCAACCCTGAGCCCCGACCGTAGACTTACCCGTAATTTAAGATTCAATCGAAAACGAAACTTTAAAGAGTGGTTCACAAGATCCAGGGCTCGGGGTTGACGGCCGCAAAGCCTGCAATCGTTCGTGGTCCTGCTACGCTCGCAGTCCGACATTCTTGCTCATAAATCCCAACCTCCATCCTGAAGCCTTACATCCTGAACCCTTGTATAATGATATCCAAATAAGCAACCCGAAATGACCGGATATAAGCTCAATGCATAGATCTTAATGAAGTCCGAGAATCTCTGATGAACAAACAAGCTGGATAGTGAGCATCTCGGGGATATCGACCATCTAACAGGAATGACCGGGTACAGAATATATGTGCCAAAGCCCGAGTCCGGTGTTGTAACTCCGAAAGACGTTATCTCTAAAACCCGGCCATCCTGGTATGGTCACCGTGTGCTCTTCGGTGTGTGAAAATGCATGAAGCAATCAAGCAGCCATCCGTACTTTCCTACCATATTTCGGGCCCACATCGGGGTTCCGTATATCTAAACTCGAATAAAGTGCGTACACAAATCTCAGAACGGCATTACGGTTTCGAGCTCAGGGCTACTGCAACTGCCATTTTGGCGATTATGGTGTGTCAGAACAAAGGATCATATCAAAGCGTATATTCCAAAAGAAGCCCTGGCAGTGGCCTGCAGTTGTGAGATCGTACCATGTTGTATTTACGACGGAATGTAACATGATGTAATACAGTATAGTACACAGCAAGAACACAATAGTGATGAGATTCTGCCAATGGGTTGTTTGACACTGCATGTCATTGTGACTACAATTTCACTTCTTCCAGGGACTCAAACGTTGATGCCATGCAGGCCATACTACCGCCTGCCGCCCCTACCCCAAACGCCAGGCCCAACACCAAACCCCTCCAGCCCAGCCCCCAACTGTATAAACTCTGAGCAGTAATATAGGGGCCTTAATACTTAGAATAGTGTTTTGGGGCCCTTTATATTATAAACATAAGGAGCCCCCAAAATAGTATAGGTAATTGTTTAGGCTCCTATATTACCCTAAACCCTGCCCCATAGCTGGCTCAAGCTCGGGACTCGCCAAGCTGCCCCGCGCAAGATCGTACCTGCAAAAATAGCAGGTCCCCTAGTTTTGGGATTGTCTGAAACTCGCATTCTCAACCGAATTGGAAGCTGCTCAGCACATGAGGGACTTGAGGGTTGTCGGTATTCAAAGGTGAGCTTGTCACGGCTTACTGGTGCCAACGGCTTTGCAGAGGTCCAGATCGACTGTTAGCTTAAACCCTAAAGCCCTAAAACCTGGTTTACGGTGCTTCGGATCTGTGGCTCATGCCTAGAAAGTTCCACATCTACGACCAGTGCCATGATGATAATGTGGGTCATCATCTTCAGATTTTCTGTGTAATCACAAGTATCGCCGCCGTGATCATCAATGCCATATCCAGAGACGTGGCACATTCTTTGCTATCCTCACGCGGACATTTGAGCCATCCTCACCATGTGGGTCAACATGACTCATGACCATCGCGGTCGTTGAGTTCTTAACTCCTGCTACCTTTTGCAATTTCCGGGCACGAAGTTGAGTCCTGAGCGACGTCTCGCAGCGATTGACATCGCCAAGACCTGAACCTAAAAACTTCAGAACCGGACCCACCGTGGCTTCGACAGCCGAAGCCCTGCAAAAAAAACCTGACATGGGGCCCTTCAGAAGCCTCGGGCTCTCGTCAACAGTCATCCACACAAGCCTGTGAGGCAAGTCATCAAACCCTAAACCCTAAACCCTAGGGTTTTAAAGAAAACAGTCCTGCAGGCCCGATCAAGACTATGCGGAAAACCGCAGCCACTTAGAAGGCCAGCGGCGAAGCCTCATACACGACCTCTCATCATCTTTTGGTGGCTCTTAAGAAACCAAAGCAGCAAAACGCTTTGACTTTGACGCAAACCATGTAAAACTACCTGAACCCCCATTCCCGGAACCCTGTATCGGAATGCATCAAACTTTGCAGCTTAACAACCTCGAAAATCGACGGGCCGGGATACCCTCTGCTGATGGTGCGACTGCCGTTGCTGCAGTTCGACCGAGCGGAGCCTTTGCGCAGGCACAAGATCCAAACGAGTCAACCAGTTAATTACTGTAGGGCCGTGTACACCCAAAACGGTTACAGGTTACCTTCTCAACTGCAGATCAGTTGCGGCTACTCCGGAGACACAACAGAAAAAGTAATCACAGGCAAAGTGCGTGCACGACTGTACTCGAACTTCTGTCCAGTACCGAGAAAAACTCCATGGTGCTTAAGAAGACCCAGGGAGTTTTTCGCAGTGCCATGTCACAAGTTGAAGCACGGCGGCTCGATGCCCTTATTCTTGAGTGAAACTGTTTAAAAGCAGAAATCGTCAACAAGACGAACCATCCTCGACAGTTGCAGCTCGAAGTAGAAGCATCCTCTTTTGCCTAAGGACCTAAGGAAGTCATCATTCGAGGCAGGAAACACACCAATCACCCAATGGCTTTACAAAAGTCTGCGGGCGTTGAGGTGAAGCCAACTCTCCTCACCCCCCGCCCCGTTACAGCGAACGTTTACGGGCTCTTTTCTGTTCGTCTCAAACTCGGAAAATCGGTCTATGTCAAAGTCGTATTCAACAGAAATCGGCCCTCTGAGATTCCACCGAAATCCACAACATCCAATTGCCAAGAGAACAGCAAACCCTAATCCCTCCTAAATGCCAGGTGGCCCAGTAGATCTGGACCACTAGCTCGACGCTTAGAAGCCTCGGGGTGCTTGCTTCAAATCCGGTTGACCACGACAAACAAATTGAAACTCTCTGCTGACATTTGATCCATACTTTACAAGCCCTAGCACTGAAGCCTTTAGCCAAACCGTGACCCCTAAACCCTAAACTCCATCCTCCGCTGTACCGAAACCCTTTAAAACTTATCCACCAAGTTATAAGAAGTCTTCCTTCCAGGCTCGTGCAAAGCCTCACTAAAGCCCTTGTACTGAAATTGTAAGCTCAAGAAGCTGCCAAAAATGCGCTCAACGACACCAACCACCGCAGTAGAACAAAGCCACGTAAACCGTTTAAAACCTCGCCTTTTGGAGTTTCGGGGTGTAGTCTAAAACTCTTTCTTGGGGGCCACTCGGAAGGGTTCTTCCGGGATGCTTGCTTGGCTTGTCTTGATTAGCATGTCTTTATAATGGCTGATGGGTCTTTGGGTCTTAGTAGGGTTTAGAGCCTAAGGTGGAAGGCCGAGGTTTGACTTTTCCAAGCACCCGCTGTCTACTTCGGGTCGTGACTCTGGGCTCAGGTTTGCAAGCTTTTGCTCGGACTGTGGTCTAAAAGGCAAAGCCAACATGGGCAACGTCAAAAGCTCACACAGAGATGCCATAGCTGGCACGGGGCGGGCCGAGGCCTCTCCGGAGCCTTGCTTGAATTTGCCTGAAGAAGCAGGGCCTGATGGTGGACAACCCACTGTCGAGGTTCATCCAATGCCAACAACACCTGTGCAGTCCAGAACTCTCAACCGGAACATCTGACACGCATAGACACCAGGCCACCAAAGACATCAAACCGATCTGTCAACTTTCCGAAGGACACAAGTACGTCTTTTGTGACTTGTATCCCGACAAGAACCCCCAAAACTGACACTCACCAATATCCGGAAGGATTCCAACATACTCTCACCAAATGCCCCCTAAATCCGCTACTTTACATGAAAGCGCGAGAATGCCTCCACATCAAGGATGGACATCAGGCGGCCAGGAAGAACTCTCATGACGCAACGGAGCCGGAATGCGATTAGCTTGGGGGGGGTTTATGATGCCAAAACTATGTGGGCACCAAATATTTCTTGATCTTGAACAAGGAGTAATTCTGGTCCTAATGTCGCTAAGCTACGTTAGTTCACGCTCTTGTCCATCAGCAGTAGTTCTCAAGGCCGAAGCAGGAGCCACGCCCAAAGAAAACGGCAAGAAACCGCCCATCATGCGCCTTTGGAGTTTCCAAACCCAAACCTAGGGGTGTAGGCTACTGCTAGCTGTGGCGACTACTGCGACTGTGAGGTATAGGATGGGAGATTTCGATCACATGGCTTTCGATACCTTGCTTATGCATGGGCCAACCAGTCGTAGACGCAAGTGCTGCTATCTCTCTAGAGTCATGAATGTCTGCATCGCACGGCTAGGACGGCGGACGCAACTTGTGCAAGGCCGGCAGCTCCGATGTGGGTTCTTGTTAGGGAACTTAATTCAACGTGCCAGAAGGCTGCGCGGGGGTTAAAAAGTAAATGATGTGCTTTCCTTCCTTTCCATATGAAACTCCGTAGCCACCAAAAACCATGAATACACAAGGGGGTCGAGAAGCTTTCTTAAGGAACCAAGCTGTGGCATTTGGGTTCAAAGCCAGAGATTGGGACTTCGGACTGGGGAGAAAAAGGAGTTCGGGCTGAAAGTTGAGATTTTCACATGCTGAAGCTCCAACGTAAGATGCAATTGAGCCCCAAGACCTAAAACCCCACACTGGAAAGGGAGTGGGGTGCTCCAATACGAAGCCTGCTGGCAATCCTACTTTCCAAGTCTGGGAGGATGCTCCGAGTAAGTGGGGTTTCCTGATGCAGCTGTGCTTACGACGCTTTCTTTCGCCAGCACGGCATGAAGCAAGGTGAAATAAGCGAGGGTAGAGGCGGTGGCACGCTTCTCAAGGCCCCAACCGTGTGAGTTCATGATGTACATATCCGCATCTACCTAGTGATCCTCTGTCCGATCGCAGCACTTCGGATTCGTCATCTACAACTTGTTCTCACCAGTACCTCGGAAAAGGCTTCCACTTAATGCTGAATATCACCCCACAAAGGCAGTTGCTTTACGGCTTTACGAACTATCCCGAACTTGGTACGTGGCGATTCTTCCTCGAGGTTTAGGGTGCATCCGCTGATGTGCAAGAGTCTCAGCACTTGAAGCCACTCACGACGAGGTTTTGTCTCCTGGCCAAGACCCGCAAGACAAAACGCTCATCTCCAAAGCCATGCCCGGAAACTTTACGGCACTGACAAGGCCCGTGTTGAAATCAAAACCTCTCAATTCTGATGATGAACCCAAGGCTGTGATCCGAGACAAGGATCCAACACACGTCACGCATTCCATTCTCTGAACTGCAAAAAAGAAGGGGGCCTTGACAAGGCCCGATGCCTTCACGAAGGCACCACCCCTTCATTTTCTCTGACGACGCGGATGTTTGATGGTTGCTTTGGATCAACACACACATATATATATATATATATATTTATTTATACACATACATATCTCTGTATATTCTTGGCCGAAATTGCATCCGACAATACAAATTACATGTACATGCAGTGTCCCTCGCGATAGTAGATCCCACCGATCCACAACACACAGACAAACACACAAACCTGCGGAGACGGCTGGCTCATACGCCGACAATGCCGGAACCATGGCGCTAGAAAGCCTTACCGCAGCCTCCACATTGGAGAATCATTATCCTCAGCACTAACTAACAGTCTGATGGCCGTGTCCCAAGATCGTGTCAACGATATAAAGCCAACAACTGGTTTCTGGAGTAGGAGCCGCCGCACTTATGATGAGGTCCCTCTACGAGACCACGCGAGAAACAAAAGTTAGCCAATGTCGCTACCTAGGGACCTAGAGCAAACCTACACTCGGTTATGCAATCATTGATCTATAAATCCGTACTGCCTTTACTAATCACACATGTACAAGGCGAACAAACCCCCGTTATGAAACTCGTCCAAAGCATTGCAAGTCCCGGAAAAGACCTATAAAGACCCCGACAAAACACCCTTACCCTTATCAACAAATATACATGAAGAAACAGCAGCACGAAACTGAGAGCCCAGTTTCCCAAAGCCCGATGCCCGCTTACCCAGGAACATGTCAAGAAACATCAGACTAAGCCCAATACATATTCCGTATTTACGAAATACAGAAAATTTGGAATCGAGCTTGGAAGCAAAGCGATGCTTTCCAAATCATTCGAAACCCTTCAAGACAAAAACAGGAGCACGGTTTTGGGATGCTTTGACGATTCGCGTACACCCGAAACCACACATCGTAAAAGTAAATGCAGTGTCTAGTTATCTTAACTCTGATGCCGATCTACCTCTCTTCTTGAATTTGGGGTCAGCTTCAATAACTAGGCATTTGGGGAAGCGACCTTTTACCCGAGAGCCCTGTGTCGGCCTCCTGTCGGTGACGGCGAGGTGCCTCCGCTGGCCACAACGTCCGCAGGCGCGCCGGTCTGCTGAATGGGCACCATGCAGCGGAGGCTTAGCTTTGTAAAAAGCCTTCTTTCTCTTTGAAAGCTTCTGCGGTTTTCAATCATACTCTTCTTGGGGGTGAGTGTGCATGTCACTTGTCTTCAGACCGCTACATTATGGAATGCTAGCTGGAACCGATGTTGGGAAGAATACCTCGGTTCGGTGTGTACCGTGCGAGATCGGGAATGGCACGTGGCAGCCGGTGGTATCTGCATACACTCTAAGCCTCTAAGCTCCAAGAACTAGATGCCACGATGCCCAACCCCCGTGAACTCCGCAGCCCCGTAAGGCTGGGAAGGGACAGACACCCCACCGAAACAACGCTATGCAGAGTGTGATGATCGTTGGATGGAAGCCCATTGCTTCTTGCAGAGCCTTCGACTGTTCCGCCCCAGCAGGCAAATGGCATAGCAGGCGGCGCTCATGAACCGCCTGAACACTGTGGCCTTCCGAGCTGCCAGCTTCGGCCTCGCTTTTGCTGCTGCCTCAGCCACCCTGCTCGGGCCGAAGGCGTGTGCGTCCAGTACCCTTTCTGGGACTGAACCCAAAAGCCGGGCTCCAGGAACCGAACAAGGCTCTGTTCGTCGCTCGGAGCATCCTGCCCCCAAGTCACACTTGCCAAACCCTATGTCAGTGTCAAAAGCCTCTACACCTTTAAACCTCAAACGAGCAAACCGTGGCCGGTAACGTTAAAGCACGAGAGCCCTCCTGGTAGGGGCCAATAAGGCAATGCATAGCTTCACTTTACATCCCTCCGAGCAATAATCCAAGCACCTACATCACGCCGAAACACAAAAGCCCCAGACCTTGAATTCCAGCAGCTTGACATCGCAACCACGCTGTTTAGGGAATCGGGGTTTTGAGGTTCAGGGCTTAGGGTACATGTTACATGTTCTCATGTTTGTAACATTGCATGTTCGCATGCGATCGTCTGGCTTTAGGGAGTCTAGGGTACATGCTAGTGTGATCGTCGCCTATCAGGTTGTGTCATACAGTAGAGAGAAGAAGTCCAACAAAGTCAAGTACCACTAAGGAATCCAAAAGGTTGCCATAGCTACTGTTCCGCTGCACAGGTCATCTTGATGTCATTACCGGAGCAAGAATACTACCTTTCGAGGCTCGCAAAACCCTCTCCTCACCGACGGCGGTTGCACCATAGCTGCCCGTCTGACAGAAGCTTCATAGAGCAGTGCTTTCTCTCTTCTAGGCTTTGGAATTCGTACTTCTTGGTTGATTTCAAGGTTTGGGGTTCGGGCTTCGGCCGGTGTCAACGACCTGAAAAAGTTTATGGTCGCGCAAGGTTGCGGGGCTTGCGGTTGTGTTTCGACGGGTTCGAAGGTTTACGATCAGGTCGGCGGTCAAAGAAACCCTGAAGCCCCGCCTCGCTGAAACTCCTAATATGGACACCCCTGGCCTGCAAGTCTCTGCAACCTGTTAGGAACGCAGCTAGGTGACGAACAGTCAGACTAACACTGCTAACCTTAACGTCATCTTGATCCCTAAGCTGATTTGCACCGTACCTACGGTTTGTATTGCCTTTGGATTTGTGTTGAGAGATATCGGTCGTTCCTCGAGCCTGCTTGCTGAGCTCCCCTTTCGAAAATGAAGCGCTTCAGTCTGGTAGTAACATAAAAGCCGGAAAGGCTAAAGTATAAATGTTAGTAAAACTGAGATGGTGCGTTGCATCCTGCAATAAGGGTTACATTCGGGATGCCAGCCGAAAGGATAGCGGGTCGAATAACCGGTGATTCGCGAAACTTTCAGCCCAAAACCCTCCAACAACTCTTATAACACACAGCTATGCTAAAACCCCTGTTGAATGTATCACGTGTTTATACAATGTCATACAGCCTCACCAACCTGTATACAACCACAGTGAAAAAACAACGAAGAGCTGCAAACAGCCGGCACGATCCCCAACATCCCTAAACCCTAAACCCTAAAAGAGTCTTCGTGGTTCGAAGTTGCCCGAGCCTCGGCTGCACTGGCACGCGCCGGGCGATCGCGGCTGGAGCCGACGTCGGCAACAGCCCTAGGTACCTCCCGCAAAGGGTTTTGGTTGTGTAGGTTCTTCGGCTCAATTGTGTCAGTGTTTATTATGGCTTTAACGCTTTTAGTGTATTTGCATAGGGTTTAGGGTTTAGGAGTTTAGGCTTTAGGGTATTGCTGTAGTTACAGTTACACCTTTAGAACCACGACCTCATTGGTTCATGGCACACTAAGGATCGAAGGTTCCAAAGTTCGGGAATTTGGAGCGTCAGGATTTGGCGCGCAAGGGCGGTACGTGGAGTGTGGACTATTGGATTTTAGGGCTTAAGCGGCGTGGCCCTTAAGGACAACCCCAGAAGCCCCTCAACCCCGGAAGCGGAAACCTAAACCTGTCTGAAGTCTGAACTGCAGTACCAGAGCTGTGAGAAAACTTCGAGAAACCTTCGAGCGCCGAAGGCCTCTTCAGATCCGGATCCCGATTGCGAATCCTCTTCGGACTGTCCCGTTGAGCCTCAGAGCTCCACCAGGTTTTAGGGCTTCGATTTGGGGGCGGGCGGGGGGGGGGGGG